TGTGCTCCTCTTGGACATCTCTGGCTCTTTCCAGAGTAACTCTATGGGGAAAAAAAGCACTTGCCAGTGAAGCATATGGAAGGAGGTATTCTATGACTGGAATTACATCACTTCATTCAAAGGGATCTGAGATACAAAATCACCTTTGTTATGAACAGTTGAGCACTCAATAAAGCCAAAGCACCTGAAAAATGAAACATTCTGTAATGATAAGATATTGCCACCAACAAAATGAATGATTGTATTAAAACATGTATTGTAAGAACTATGGGAGATGGCTGCAGAGAAAGCGACCTTACCCCTACACATTTTCACAAATGATTTAGTCCAACTTTCCCGTTTGGTCTCTGTTTGGACCTGAAAAAACTCTTCTTTCCCTTTGCTTGGAACACAGACTTTCAGTGCTCAGAAAAGTGATGCAACTTTTCCTGGGATGATGGGTACATACTGCAGTCCAGGTTGTAGGCACGGGAAACAAGTTCCTCAGCTGCACCTAACACCCACTGAAGTGGGAGCACTGACAGCCCCTCCAGGCTGACTAAATCTGATTTTGATTTGCTGGTCATGCGCTCCACAGACATTCAGAAGCCGGAAGGCTTAAAATCTACTATCAGTCTATTTTATTACGGCTCAGAAAGTAACATCTCGATATTTCACCAATGGCTCGGCAAAGGCTTGATTCTTCTGTTCATGTCCATAGCAATGCTGCTCTCCATTAAGAGCTGTGCAGATAGGGACAAAGTAAGGGAAAAAGGATACGCAGGTTTCCTGACTTGATTTGTTGGCAGTTCTCTGGCATCAAATGCTGGTATTAAAGAGGCTTATTGCCTCATAGGCATTCAAGGCCCTCACTCCCTTGTTATTCTGCATCCTGTACAAAAATCAAGGCTTAGCTCCGTCAGCCAGTCCGGCGACTACAAACCTCCACCTCCTGCTTTCCCTGCACCCCCTCAAGGCCCAGACTTTCTACCTTCCTGATTCACATCTTGGGAACTGACTTATTTTATTTCACCAACAGTTAATTAACAGCAAGTACGCAGTACTGTTTTACTCTTACTGATCTTGTTCATAAAGCATTTATTCAGTACTTCAGTTTATTTTGGAGCTGGTCCCAGTTAGAAGAAAGGGCTCCAGGAGTAGTCCCTTGCTGAGGGCAAACGTGCAGCTAAACTGTACTGAGATTTCTTCCCTAGATCATCTTCTCTTCTTTTAACAGGTTAAGAAGATCTACGTAGGTGCGGTTCTTTTTTCCCTCTTTAAAAAACAGATGTTTTTAACACAGAAAAATAAATGTATTTTTTCAGAGAGCAAAAGCAGTATATGATCTGGCAAATGACTGTCTTGCATACTGAGAACTTTAGGGTCACCCTATGCATTTAGAGATGTTTTGGTTTCCATGTTTGGTTTTGGTGCTCTCATCTCTGAATCCTTCAGTGAAGATGCTTCGATCCAGAGTGCTGATGTGAAAATCCCAGAACACCAAACCTCTGCAACAGAAATGCTGACAGCTTTATCTGAAAGTAGCACTGCTGGGTTCTGGTAGATTAATGGCACATCCATGGCCTGTACTGCAAAGAGACCTCCAGAACACAGCATTTCCAAATTGGTCAAAGTCACAAAACAAACATCCCAGCATTTATCTGGGAACTGTAATGAAACACACACCTATCCATTAGTTAGGATCCCTTTTGGATGTCATTGGATCTTGCTCTAGTAATATCCCTGATTTGGCACAGAAAAGGCACCTGAGAACAAAGCCGATCCGTGGAATTCACCTGGATTAGCTAAAACAGCTCAATTCTGTGCTCTTAAAAGTCCCTGCAGAATTGGGACCCTTTAATATGTTACAGCCATGCTTAACACTGGAGAAAAATACCATACTTTGGTTTGCATCTGAGTGTCAGCTCAATGTCAAAATGTGTTGTCAGAAGACAGAAGTAACTTTTAATGCAACAACAATTTCCTCCTATTATACACCCCCCCACACACCCGCCTATGGAACAATGTCTAATTGGTTAATAAAGGAGAGGTAATATTTAAATTATGCTATCAGACCTCTTCAGCCTGGAGAAGCAATCTCTTTCATTAAGGCTGTTCTAATATTCCTTAATTTTATTCAGAATTGCAGTTTCATTTAGAAAACAGACATTATGATTATTGAAATGACAATTCTGTATAAGAAAGAATTCACTGACACATTTAATTTTTACTCATCTCCAAATCACTGTCATATCAGCCTATCATTCACCTGGTCATACCACCCTTTTCAAGCAGCTTCCAAAAAATTCTTTCCAATTGCTTCAAAGATACTCATGTCTTGATCCTCCAAGCACCTGTGAGCAACCACAATATGCAGCTTCTTGAAAAATAGGGGGTTTTTTTTAGAATTGTGCAGAACCTTTTCAACAAATAGGAAATTCAGTGAAATGTGCAGTTGTCATTTTCCTCATGCAGTTTGCTTTGTTTAGACCGGGGAAAAAAGTAACCAGTTGGGGGAGAGTGAATTAGCACAGCTCTCTCTTTTGCCTGTGACATCCTTTACGTACAACTTGCTAAAACCCCTTGGTTTTCAATTCCCTTCTATCAGAGAAGCTATTCCCAGCTCAAGCGTGTCCTTCCTTTCAAGCCATAAAATTCTTCTGGGACAGGGACCTCTTGTCCCCACTTAGCCTTAGCACCGCATCCAGGCATCTCACTCTCTTGAGCCCTTTTGCACAGACAAGGAGGAATTTCAGACAGAATGGTTCTAAGGCAAGAGACCTGGAGTGGTTGAATGCAGCACATCCTGGCTGCTGGGACACACAAACGTGGGTTTTCACCCTTTGGGCAGCACAGGGAATTGCACCAGGGCTCCCACGTCCTTGGTGAGTGGCTAGAAAGACATCGATTTAAATTTGAATTGTTTCTGATTTTCTCTTAGAGAACCTAAACGAAACCTTCTTTGTTGAGAAAAAACTTCAAGAGTTTTATGTTTGTCTTGAATCAAAAGCTTTTTTCCCCCCGAATTTTTTTCATTCAGCTACCAAACCAAAAGACTATACATACAACCCTATCCCAGCGTTGCACACTGATGGACACAGTCATCTCTTCGTTTCCACTGCACTGAGTTCTCCCTACCAGTCTCTATGCATTCAGTCTACAAAAGAAGGCATTTGTAACAGAAATTGTTAATGTTTCTGGAAAATAAAATCATATTCTCGAATTACTGCTCTCATTTGTGACCTCTTAATTCTTACAAAGCAGGTGATCCTGGTTAATGACTAAAACGCAAACATCTGCTTATCCCCCTCCAAAAAAATGGATTAATAAAGCTGAAATTACACAGTTAATGGTGTGGATAGTCTACCACAAAAGTGTGATCATATTTCAGAAAATTACATCTAGCCCAATTTTAATGAAATTAAAATAAATTACTATTGCTATTTCCTCAGCTATTTTAAGCCACCTATGTTTTCATAAACAAGGATTCATTACCAAATTTTTGGAAGGAAAAATTAATTCAGTAAAGGAAGAAATATACCCTTTTATATGTGCCCACTATATATAATATTCTGCACTCTGACATAAATCTGGAAAAGGCAAAAAAGATTTGTGAATATATAGAAAGTTCTAGCCAAAGTCAGAATACTGCATAACTGACAAGGAAGATTTTATTGCTGTATAATGCCTTCCAAGAAGCATGCTATATAGTTTTTATCTGAAAATGAGGGGAATGCATGAATTATTTAAGAACTTGCCCATTTTTTGTTACCAAATCTACTTTGTCATGTAAATGAGCAAGGAGTTTTGAAATTTCCCGGGAAAAAGTATGTCCCAGAACTTGATCCAAGATCAATTCTTCATTGTTCACATAGGATTCGCATTAAAATTTCCAAAGTACAGTGACTTCTTATGAAAAAAGTATAGCTCCCTTGAAACATGTAAAACACTATCTTCCCATAATGTTTCAAAATCACGGAGTTCACATTACACCAAACTGTGACAGAGCAGCTAATAAAAGAATAATTAACTCCAACACAGACTTAATAGTGAGTTTGGCAGATGCATCTGATATTTAAACTGGACGTTGGTCCCCAGTACAAACCACCGTGTACCACCACACAATCTTTGATTTTAGTAGCATTCTTCAGGATCAAAATGGACTGAGGCAGCTGAGACTTAGCAGAGATGGAGAGAGTGCACGTTCTGGGCTCTGAACAGTGCTGTTATTTTGCTGCAAATATTTGATACTAAATTTGTCAACCTTGTGTATAATTTCATATTCTCTAAAACTAAATACTTTAAAACCAAATCATATAAGTATCTGTAAACTCCTTTTAATTCAAAACGGGATCATTTAAGGAATATTTATTCATTCATTCTTAAAGAGTCCTCCTTTTTTATATTCTCATTTTAGGCATAGAGCTGACATCAACATCCACAAGATGGAAATCACAAGCTCCAGCACATGCTTAATTTAAGGCTCATCCAACAGTTCCAAAATACTCCTGAGACATGCATTTCAGTGCCTTACCAAACGAGGTCTGCTTCAATTTATGACAAATCATAACTGTATATTAAAATAAACATTTCTTCAAAACCAGACAGAACTGTAACTCCCCATGGCCTAACCCTATCAGAATAATTCAAACTGCATCTAACTCTTGAACAACTCAGAGGATTTGAAAAAGAGCATTACTTAACCAAAATACTTCATGATTTACAAAGTATCCAGTTCTGAAGGTTTATGGCAAATTGAGAATTTGCAAATGTTGGACTTAAAAAAAAAAGTAATTAAGTGAAAGCACATGTTTAATTATAGCTATTGGAAGAGGTAAATATAATTACTAGGGAAACTAATTTTGAGACAAAGCATTATGTGACATATATAATTACGAGAATAAAAATAAGGAGTATGTATTAGCTGGAAGAATATCTCAATCCTGAGAGCTAAATTGAAACATTTTTTTTAAACCAAGACAATCTATACATTCTTAGTTAGATTTTAATACGATACCCACCTTAGAACACATGTGTAGAAACCACTGTCTTGCGACTCAACCGAGTGAAACCATATTGAATCTTCATCCTTGCTCATCCTAACTTCAGAAAATATAATGGGTTCTTCTAAATCTCCTTTGTTTTTGTACCACATAAGCCTAAGACCTGTGCTTTGGGCCATGCTATAATTAGTTCTGATATAGCTGTAGAAAAGGGCACATTTCACTCGGACTGGTTCACCTGCCAAAGCCATGTATGTCTTGAGATCCACTGACCAGTCAATGCAACCATCAACTGAAAGCAAAACAATAATAAAGAAATATTAGATACAGATATATTTTTTTCAAGATAGTGAAAGGCAGTTTGTGAAATGCAATGCAATTAATTAAACAAGAAGAATCTTGGCTTCATAGGAATGTGAAAAACCAGAAGCAGCTATTGGCAATTAAAGGGGTTTACACATCTTTTTTAGTTACATGACAATGTGAATGTGCAGGCAGGCAATAAATAGAGCACGTTGGGCCTGCTTGATTCCATTTCTTTAGAACATCATTACTTTCATGCCCAAACCACGCTATTAATAAATAAACCAAGTGTTTTCACCTTAACTACTTGCCCCTTTAAACCACTTTTGAATTCTTTAATTCCTTGTTGGAGGAAAAGGTACACTGGCGTCTGATCCCAATCTTATCCCTTAAAACTTTTGCATCCAACTCTGCTGATCATGTTATGTAAAAAAAAAATAAATAACAGCTGTGACATTTATCATTTTCTTTTCAAGGCAGTTCCACAGAGCTTTTTTTTTTTTCCTACAGCCTACTCAAACTGTAGAGATAAGTATTACATAAAACAAGATACAATTACAACACGCTACCTATGCAATCAAGCTTAATACAGGAACTGGACGAATATGAAAAGGGATTTTTGATGTTCTGTTCAGCAAAAACTTTTGAAACCATTTTCTTGATACTTCACTTTAAAAATGAACATGTCAGCCGGTTTAATAAAAGACTTCTCCCTACAGTTTTTTCTCTCGTTATTGTACATTATCTTAGTTACAATATAATCCTAGAACATGCATATGTTATCAACACGTAACTCCCCCCTCACATATCAGAGACGTTTTAATTTAATTTTTTTTAATGCTGGAAAAACTGTAAGCCTGAAAGTTGACCAAGAATATAATCAAAGAACAAGACTGCAAAGGCAGATCATCAATAGGCAAATACACTACCTAGACTTGATGAAATGTGTAGGGTTTAGAATTTATTGATCATATCCAGCTACATGTAAGCGGAACACTTTTACCCTTGATATAGCTACCTCAAATTCAACCAAGTAAGGTTCAAGTTGCCTCTTCTGCATTTACAGTATCAATTCTCAAACTCTAAGTGTTAGATATTCTCGTACACTCTTCGTTTCAGATACATCTTCAATAGCATTCACTCATTAAGTGATTTTTTTATTTGCTTCCTAAACAAATGTAGTGAGCCAAAATTTCTACATGTGGTGGAATATCAGATCTAGTCCTTTTTTTTTAGTGGCTTTTACTGCTTTTAAATTATGTCTATCATTTTTGCAGGCTTCTCTTGAATCCTTCAAAACTAACCATGATAAATGGAAGGTTTTAATTTTCCCATGGCAGTAAAGCAGCTTTAATTGTACTATGACCACATGAACCATGCAACCGAACCATGTTTTAACCCTGTTGACACTGACCACTTTCATACATTTCTAACATATGAACCTCCATGTAATAGCTTGTCGTAAAACAAACTTTAACTTGTAAAACAAACTAACATAGGCTCAAGAGGGAAGGGAAACCCATTACTCAAACCTATACTGTTAATGTATCCACTGACAAGAGGGAGATTGTACAAGACCTTCACCCCAAGTGGTGCAGACCAGGCTACCTGCTCCTGCCCCCCACCCTGCAGCAGATGCAAACGCAGCAGCCGGTTGTGCCAACTGACTTCTTATTTCAACAAAAAAAGCCTCAAAACTAAAACATTCACCTGATGTACACAGTTTCGGCTAACTTCAATTTTCATTTCCATTCTCATTTCGCTGAAAACGTCCTGCTGATTTAAACTAAAATTCATTGCTTCTTTCTTTTAACAGCTACTATTAATGACATAAAACGAAAGGCCGGTAGCAATTTACTGACTTTCCTTTTCTTCACTGCCACAGCATTACTTCTTCCTCTGTGTTCTCCCTCTTACGGCTTAGTGCCACACAGAACAGGACAAGTTTGGATAATCATTACTTGAAAATCATTTACTGAAGTATTTCTTCTCAGCGCATCCCCTCCAGGTTTATAACATCCTTCCCCATGACTAAAGCCGCATGTTGCAACTCAAACATTCTCTTGCCAGGACCCGATGAAGCACCGCATTCACCTCTCTCTGCGATGGTGTGATACAGACACGGGCAACCAGCAGCAGCGCTGGGAACAGAACCCAAGTCTCCCAGGCCTACAAACCCATCCAATCCACTTTTACAGTAAAGCCTGGTTCTGACATCATAAATTATTTTATATAGGTGGCTTTGAGGGTTTTTACATCGAGCAGGTATCAACGTACTCCATACAGACGTTCCGCACAAAAGCTTTGCGCCTCTTTTAAGCCCCCCTCTTTAGGCTGGCGTGAGCTTACAATGAATGAGCAGTGCAGAGCTTGCAGCCGCCGCCTCTCAGCACGGGATGCGAAAGGCAACGCTGAGCTCTCCAGATGGCTCATCCCCGTTCTCCAGGACATACAGGTATTCTCAAAGGCACCCTTCCTCCTGTGCTTTAGCAAAGTCACAAAAGTCTAAGTAGGGGCGTAAGCTGAAATGAATAAGCCTGCCCAGAACTGGAATTTAGATCCAAACTAATTCAGCTGATCTAATGAATTCTGTCAATCTTCTGTCAATCTAATCCTGTCATGTCACCTAATGCTTTTGAACCTGTGCTGGTTCAGCAAAGTTAAACCACGGTAAAGAATAACTGACATCCAGACACACATGGCAAGCTTGTGGGTCAAGCAGAAAGGTGCCAGTTTTTCATTTATTTCACAGAGCAGAGGCACAATTAGGAAGAGTTATGGAGTTAGGTACTGACCCAATATGGAAATCTAGCTTTGGAAGCTGAAAAATGCCTCTGCTTCCAATAAAATTTCTCCCACATGAACACCAAACAACTTGTCAAAGCACAGCTCAGACGAACACGGAGCATCCTTCAGTATCACTCCACCTGCCTCATCTTCCACTTTCATCTGAAACTTTCCTTTCTTCTCCCTTTTAGTGTGCACTTCTCTACTATTTTATTTTCAAAATTACAGCTGCTGGAGTACATAAAGCACAGTGGAACAGATGAAAGACATTTGAATGGTAATTTATAGCCAGGCCATCAGAATGGCTAAAACCCATCTCCAGCAGCCCCCGGTGGGGAGCGAGACTGTGGGGCCGGGGCACCGCTGGCCATTGCCAGAGCTCCAGGTGAGCCACCGGGCACGGTGACCTGAGCCCAGCCCCGCACCTGCATCTCAAAAGAAGAACAGAAAGAAAAGGAGATTTACACAAGAGACCTTTTTCCCATTAACATTATCCCAACGGAAGAATTTCAGCAGCCAGCAGCGAGGCTGATCCCAGCACAGCGGAGGGGGAAGGTGCAGGCAGGTTGCCGGCCCATCGGCCCTGCCTGCACCGCCTGCTCCCCAGCAGCAGCTCGCTCCCCGCAGCATGCCAGGAGGTGGTAATTACGGAGAGGAGTGCACATGGGGAACGGAGTAACCATTCATTATAGGGTTGATGACATCTGCAGAGGGGAGAAGTCTCACAGAGCGCCTTGACTAAATCTTAATTATTGAAGAAAGACTAATCAAACAGGAGACGACTTTTTCCCCTTGCTCTTTTTTTCTTGTTAAATACACAGTCAAGAATGTTTCCTCTTATGAAGCTGTAGAGGCTAAAATCTAGGTCAGGCTCCCCACGCTCACGTGGAAGCTGGGATTTTTCCTCTTGCCGCGCTGTCAGTCACTGGAGCGTGAGCGCTGTTAGATTTGTTTGGAGTATTCTCCAAGCTGTCATTACAAATGACTAGAGCTGCTTAGGTGGAGTTTAGCACTCCATTATCCAGAACAAAGTTTGCTGTCATTTTTGTTGGGCTGGCTCTCAATACATAATATAATCAGGGTGGTAAGAAGAGAAAAATAATGGCATTAGAGAGAAGCATGTATTACATAATAAATGTATATACATCTTTTCTCTGTTACCCAATAATCAGCTGATCCTTAATAAATGCCTGATAGAAAACCCATTCAAATTAAATCCTGTCTATTGTGGGTGTATTTTAGACACTTTCAATAAAGACAATTATTTGAAATAGTTTCTAAAATTTGGAGCATGGAGAGGATAAGGAAAAACATTGTCCCATATTTAGCCCAGCTTCCTAAGGAGAGAGAGGTTTGCCCTTTTATCTGCCAATCCCCCCACCCCGTTAGCGTAACTTCTGACCCAAATGACTAAAGTCCATCCTCTTTCACAGAACACGAGAGCCCTACGTGGGTGCGGGAGAGAGTCCCCATGGGTCCCCTGCGGGCAGGGAACCGCAGCAGCAGTTAATGACGGTGGGGTCCCACTGGGCCCATCCCAGTTATCTATCCAGGCTAATGCAACCTGAGGAGATAGTGAACTGAAAATGAAGGTTTCCAAACTATTAAGCAAATTATAGATTAAGTTGGCTGACAATAAGTTACTGTACTTTCATGTTAGCAGTCACCCAGTTGTACTGCGTCTCCTTCCCCAATATTTCCTGGTAATTTCCCATTATTCTTATTTTAAATAAATCTAATTGTCCAGGGAGTCTAGATGCATTTTAACATGAACCATAATAATTTATGAGCAATTATAGAAGACCATGTACATAGTCTCCAAGTAATTTGTCTTTCTGCTTGCTGCCATATAAATAATTTTTTGCATTGCAAATCTGCCTGTAATAATTTCTGTAAGGATCTGTCACCTACAGTAATTTATATCATGGCATTGTTAAACATGTTTGCCTACCTTGTTACCTGAAAATCTCATTTTAAATTGAAATCATCTACAAATAAATAATTAAAAAAATAATATACTAGCTAATGTATGAAATTTATTACTCCACAAAGCAACCAATGCTTGTGACTGTAAATACACAGTCAGAAAAAAACCCAACGTTCCTCTGATAGAGGCGTTGTATTTTTATTTACGTATTAGTCATAGAACAGCAGAGTCCAGGAACTGATATCCATCATGCTGGGGGTTTGCAGACACGTAGC